TCTTATATGAGCCCTGAAAAGGTTAAATGCACTGGTTCTTATATAGCGCTTTTCTACACTACCGGAGCACTCAAAGCACTTTATACAACATGCCTCATTCACCCATTCACACAAGCACTTTTTTCTAAGCTTAAGTGTCTGACATTTACACGCATTCATAGTTGGAGCTTTAAGTTGCTCATCACATTATCATCTACTAATATTTTGCTCTGTAAAAGATACAAAAGTTAACTACATGGCAGAGAAAAGTGAACTGTAAACAAAAAGTATTTGCCCGCTTCCTGATTTCTTTTTTGCATTTGTCATATTTCAGATGTTCAAACATATTTTAATATTAGGCAAAGATAACCCAAGCAAATAAAAATGCAGCTTTTAAAAAATGATATTATTTATTAAGGGGAAAAAGTTAGCTAACCTACTTGGCTGTAAATGAAAACCTACTTCCAGTATGATATGCAGGAGGATAATGATTCAAAAAATAACAGAAAGTCTGCCTCAGAATGGCTCAACAAACAAACAAACAAACAACAAAAAAATGCAAAAGGAAGATTTTAGAGTGACCAAAGTCCAGGTTTAAATCTGACAGAGATACTTTGGCATGACCTTAAACAAGCCATTCATGTTTGAAAACCCACAAATGTGGGTGAATTAAAACAATTCTGCATTATTATTAAAATACGGTGACACATCTTTCTCATTTCTCTACACTCTGCCATACAGCACAATGGCCAAATTGCTGCAGTAACTACATTTTGATTATAGTTATGTTTTACATTGTTAAAGTAACAAAAGCATTACTGTGACCTCTGCCCCAAAACCTACGGCCTCACCACAGACAGTAATTACTTCTTATTTTATCATTTACACACTCAATTTTATAAGAAAAAACTCAGTTTTACCAGAAAAAAAAAGATGTGTAACCAGTAAAGCCAGTAAGTATTTTGTAACCACAGGCCATACTATGAAAACTTTACAGGCTGGTGTAATGATGTACAGTGGAGGGGAGGATAACTGCAAACAGCAAACTTGCCTCTCTTCCCTTCCCATGACAGAATAAAGGAAAGGGAGAAAAAGAAAGGAGCCAAATAAACAATCATGCTAAAACAGTTTTCTGTTATAAAAAAATCAAGTCAAAGTGTTGTTTAAAAACAAGACTGAATTCTACAGCTTGTAAAATCAGTTTTTATATCTATCCATATTCAAAATGGACTTTTACGTGATGAAATGCTTCATTCACTGCTTTAGTTTCCTTAGATAATCCCCCCAAACATGTTGAAGAGTCAATCTTTAAACAAAAAGACTCCAGAGAGAAAAAAGCAGCATTAGTAAGAACTGATTTAAACACTAGGTTGTCACTCTGACATCTCTGTATAGAAACAGCAACAACACAAACTAGCAAGGCAGTAAGCATGCCATCCAAAGACACAGCAACTGAGTAAACAATTATTAATTTCTAAATTTAAGCTGTGACAGCTTGCGATGGTCTGAAAAAAAAAAAAAAAAGGCCTCTAATTTGTAGTTAACATCACATCTGAAGCATCCACCAGTCGCCATGGCAGCGGCAGAGCATGGCTTGTTAATAATAGTGCAGAAACAGATGCCTGAGTGCCATGCTGCCACTTAGGGCTGATTAAAAACACCACATCTCAACACCTAGGATTGATCAGTTTTACACTGTGGCATAAAATTCTATGTGCATATGGGGTGTGGGCGTTGTTTTCATCGTGCCTCTACTGCAGACGTTAATGCAACGCAGCCATTTGCCATGTCATCTGCCATTTTAACATGAGCTGCCAAACAAGGAAAAGAAAAGAAAAAGGAAGTGCTGTGAAAGTGATCAAGAGACATATGAAATGATCAAGTGACATGTGGCATCTTTGCCACTACCACTCAGATGACGAAAAAAACCCTCATAGTTCGAAAAGAGTTTCAGAGTTACGCTTCTGCAGTTTGAAAAGACTTGTTAGCGAGACGTATTCTCACAACACTGAGAACACACAGTTTTGAATACTTTAACATACACTACGTCAGATGCAGTCGGCTTTTAAGATTTGAAGAACTTACTAGTTTCATAATGCTTCTTCACTATATAATGGATAATTCTGGTTGCAGTTTTTTTCCGTTGATATCAGCGTCGGTGTGACATCTAAGGCCCTAGAGTGGCACCAATTGATAGTTTTTAGGTCAACCATTTCTTCTTATGCCAATTATTTTATTTATTTACTCAATGATCCAGACTTTAGTTTAAATTTTTGGAATTATCCATTTCTAAATTCCTTAAACTTAAAACTTTCCTTTTTTTTTTTTTTTTTTTTTTAAATGATTTTTTTTAAATGATTTTTTAAATTAAAATACTAAAAAAAATAAAAAAAATAAAAAAAACTTTCCTTTTTTGCTAAAGCATATAGTTAGGGCTGGGTCAGGTGACCCTGAATCCTCCCTTAGTTATGCTGCAATAGATGTAGACTGCTGGGGGATTCCCATGATACACTGAGTGTTTCTTCTTCAGTCACCTTTCTCACTCACTGCGTGTTTATATACTTTTCTGCATTGAATCGTACTTGTTATTAATCTCTGACTCTCTTCCACAGCATGTCTTAGATCCTGTCTTCCCTCTCTCACCCAAACCAGTCAAAGCAGATGACCGCCTGGTTCTGCTGAAGGTTTCATCCAGGTAAAACCTTCCTTCACACTGTTGCCAAAGTCCTTGCTCATAGGGGGTCATATGATGCTGGGCTTTTCTCTGTATGTATTATTGTAGGGTCTACCTTACAATGTAGAGCCCCTTAGGTGACTGTTGTTTCAATTTGGAGCTGTATAAAAAAATTGAATTGAATTAAGAAATTTACAATACAATTTTATTTATATAGCACATTTAAAAACAAGGTGTATGCCAAAGTGCTTCACAGAAACCAAATAAGAGCAATAATAAAATAAATAAAATTAATAAAATAATATAACTACAAATAGAATATACTAACAGGTGGGAGACATAACTAACCAATGATACCAGGCATAGCAGGCACGAGCCGAAAGGCTGAAGGCTGAAGGCAAGGCTAAATAAATACATTTTTAATCGAGATTTAAAAGATTTAATTGAATCAGACGCGCGGATAGCTTGAGGAAGATTATTCCAGAGGTAGGGTGTGACAGCGGCGAATGCGCCGCGGTCACCTCTGGTCTTAAGGCGGGATCTAGGTCGCACCAGGAGCATTTGGCCTGCTGATCTAAGCACTCTCCTAGGGGTATAAAAGCTGAGGAGATCCTTAAGATAGCTGGGCGCGGTGTTACTTATGATTTTAAAAGTGAGCAATAAGATTTTAAAATCAATGCGATGTTTAATGGGGAGCCAGTGCAGGTCGGAGAGAACTGGAGTAATAGACTCAAACCTACCAGTTCCGCTTAAGAGACGCGCAGCAGCGTTTTGAACAAGCTGCAGTTTGTGAATAAGGGCAGAATGGAGACCAGTATAAAGGGAATTACAGTAATCTAATATTGATGTAACAAAGGCATGGATAAGTTTCTCCAGGTCCTTACGTGGTATGTAGGGCTTGGCCTTAGAGATTAGACGTAATTGATAGAAGCCAGATTTAACTACAGAGGACACATGTTTGTCCAGCTTGAAGGAACTGTCCAAGACAACACCCAAGTTCCTCACAGTGTCAGAAAGGGAGTTGGCAAAGGGCCCAAATACACCAGTTAGTTCAGCCCGAGGGATGGGAGTATCAAAGATTACAATTTCTGTCTTCTTATCATTTAAAATGAGGGAATTGCTCAGTAGCCAGTTTTTAACTTCACTCATACAATCAAAGAAGTGTTGCAACGATGACGCGACATCCTCAGCTAGTTCAAAATAGATCTGACTCTTATCTGCGTAAAAATGAAAGGAAATATTGTATTTATCAAAGATTCGGCCCAAGGGTAACAAGTATAAAGAGAACAGCAAAGGACCCAGCGCAGACCCCTGGGGGACACCAGAGGTGATAGGGGCAGTGGAGGAGGAGTAGATAGGATTTAAACCAGCTAAGGGCACTGCCCGTGATGCCCACCAGATGCTTAAGCCTCATTAAAAGGACATTATGATCCACCAAATCAAAAGCAGAGGACAAATCAAGCAAAACTAAGACCACAGGGTGCCCTGAGTCAGCAATTGCGAGAAGGTCATTAAAGACTTTCAGTAATGCAGTTTCCATGCTATGGCGTGGCTTAAACCCCGACTGAAATTATTCCCCAATATTATTTGCATCCAAATAAGTTTGGAGTTGGGAGTGAACAATCTTCTCTAGGACTTTAGACAGAAATGGGAGTTTGGAAATAGGACTAAAGTTAGCGAGATCATTCTGATCGAGGAAGCTCCTTTTGAGTATAGTTTGCACTACAGCGTGTTTAAAGGCAGCCGGAACATAGCCCAATAACAATGACAGGTTCATTAGTGATAAAATATAGGGCCCGATAATGTTAAACCCTTCTTTAATAATGTGAGATGGAAGAATGTCATGAACAGCGTTTGCATTTTTCAGGTGATCAATTATACCCCTGAGAGTGGGCAGTGAAAGTGGATCAAACTGATTGAGGTTAGTGGAGCATCGTAAAGCTGGGGCCTGACTCAGAGATAAGATTCTGCCTGTAAAATGATTTAAAAATTCTTCACAAAGAGCTAAGGAAGCCAGTCTAGGCATTACAGGACAGGGATTAATCAATGAGTTAAAGGTTTTAAGTAAAAAATGTGGATTGTGACTGTTATCTGTAATGACAGCCGACAGGAAACCTGCCTTAGCCAACCTAACAGATTTCTGGAATTCCAGGCGGGTCCTGCGAAGGATGTCAAAAGACACCTGGAGCTTATCTTTTTTCTTTTAAATTTGCATATTTTTGTCACTCAACACATTCTGAGATGGGAAAAAAGGACCTTCTTTGAAATAAAAGTCAAAAGTCTAGCAGTCTTTTAAATTGCATCTGAAGTCCTAATGTATTAAAGACAAAAAAAAGGAATAAAATACCTCAGAGTGATGTTCTTCATTCTGTTGCAAGACTTCGATGCAGAGCTCTCCCAGCCTCATCATGTCCTCCAGTCTTTTCTCTGAAGGTACCTGATGTTCCACTATGTGGGAAAATTCCATAGCAAAGAAGCAGAAGCCATTGCAGATTAGTTTTACACTCAAACATGACTACAGAACATTTCAGAGAAGCCTCTGTTGTGTGTACAGTATGTTGGGTTCTGGGTCAAACCCTACTGATCACTAACAAATCTATCATTACGTTATCCATGATCATCTATCATTTACTGTGATCCTGTGTTCTCCCTTCAAGCACCACCCTGAAGTGACATCTTTTGGTAAAAATCAAGCTATAAACTCTCACCCTTGATTTTAGCATATTCAATCAACTGACTATAGTTGATTTGAGCTGCTTGTTCCAGACACCTCTGCACCAGTTTCTTCATATCCTCTGGAGGAACAGGGGTAGTGATGTCTTTCATCAAAACCTGAAAAAACACATATCTCATTTAGTTCTTCTTAGAGCTTAAGAGAAGCCCCACTGTATGGCTTGTCAAACCTTCTGTGTGTCAGATGCAGCCAATCAGAATAAAACTGGTGGTCAAACAGTAGGATAGCCTCCTACGATTGGACATAGAGCCACATAAAGTGGGGTGTTGAGCACCAGAGTAAAAATATGACGTGAAAATAAGTTGGATAAAACTTGATTTTAGTCAGGATAAAAGTCGGAATACTTTCTGGGTGCTGTCATGTTGAGCTTTATTTAAATTTCCATGTATCCATCCATTTTACATTATATATAATATATACATGCAGTGAATGTGCAGTATGCACATTCACTGCATGTATGCAGCAAGCAGGTGAATTCTGTACATTAAGTGAATTAGATTCACTTAATTAATTGACTTGCTTGAACAAAGATTTGTTCAAGTAAGACTGGGGTTAGCTTTCTTGCCTTTCTAGCAGCACAAGTCTTCTTCAAGTCTTATTCCCTTGAAAACTGGTCTGTACTTTGTCTGAAGACATTGATAATCACTTGAAACCAAATTGCACAGATAGGTGATTACACTGATTCTAAGACAGCTGATAAACAAAGGCAACACGCTTTCCTTTTCTATACATGTATGTTACATGTTTCATGAAAAAACTGTGCAGGACATTTGTACAGTGGTGCAAACAATATTTAAGCCCTTCCTGATCTCCTAACTTTTTTTGTATGTTTGTCACGGTTACAGTAAATGTTTCAGATGATTAAAAAAATGTAAATATTAGACAAAGACAACACAAATAAACACAAAATGGGGGGTGTTTACTATTAAGTAGAAAAGAAATACAAACCTGGATTATGACACATACAAAAAATCGGGGCAAACACTTTTTCACACCACTGTGCTGTATGTTAAAATATGATTTAATCAGAGGCCAATTACCCGTTCCTGAAGGGAGAGCGTGGCCTTTAGGGCCCCATCTGGTCGTCCAAAGGGAAAGCAATACCTGCAGATGCAAAACGTAGGCAGCCACTTAGAAACAATCTCAAGGACAACTTCATAGAAAAAAAAAAGGAAAAAAAAGAGGAGAAGAAGAATAGGAAAATGCGTTCAGTGGCAGAAAACGGTCAGTTGGCAACAGATGGCTGCCTGCTCTTGTCTAATTACACTGATGAAGGAAGCGTTTCTCACCTACAGCTCCATCGGAGTACAGATGAGGCAGTTCATGCAGGTTTCTCGTTGTTAATTGACAAGTGAACAGTACTTAATAAACAAAGGCATGCAGTCACACAGGTCAGCCATTTATTAGACCAAAAAGAAATACAGGCAGATGTTTTGCTCTGCTAACAGAGAAGAAATTATGAAACTCACTAAACTAAACTAATATCACATCGGACTTTGTTTAAAGATTCAATTCATACTTTATGTCACAAGTTCATGATGTTCATTTAAAAGAAAAATCAATCTCCACTAAAGAGCAAAATGCTCAAAAGGCCTGAAATGTCTTTGATAAATATGTATTTTATCTGCATCGGCAAGCAAGCTTCTGACAGAAAGGAGACACAAGTGGTGATAATGTTTAAATGAGTGAATATGAGATATCTGATTAAAGAGAAAATCGGCAGAATTTTCTATTTTCTATTCTATTTTAGTCAGTATGGGAAAACGCGGATTTTTAAGTGCTATAGTAAAAATTTTATTAAAAAAACCAAGACTATTTATAGTAAACCTTCAAAGTTTCTAAGCATATGTAATGATAACTGTGAAATTGTATCTTTATATATTTAATATTTTTTAACGTATTTTTTTAAAAGACCAATGAAAATGTTGTGCTTTTATTTTTAATAGTGTAATAGCTTTTGAGGTATTCATGTTCAAACATATCCACAGATTTCAATCTGGGATGGACCATTTTTCAAGAGACTTGAAAAGTATTTGATATTTGAAGCTAAAATTTCACTGAATCCTCTTTGGACCATAAATGTCTATTTTATTTTAAATAGTTTTTTGGCATTTGACTTTAATGAATAGAGACAATAAAGACAGACAGGAAAGTGGAGGAAGGAGAGGGGAAGACACGCTGCAAAGGGCTGTGGGTCAGACTTGAACCCAGGCCGCTACTTTCTGGCCATGCGGCATATGGCTGCCTGCTCACCCACTGAGCCAAACCGGCGCCCCGACCACAGAGCTTTTACACAAATGGGGGAGGGATGAACAGAATGTTCTAAAACTTGGCTGACAGGGCTGAGATAGAACGACCCTTATATAAATTTAAATGACACAAGGGAAAGAAATTGATGATGTGAAAGATATTTAATTGTTGATGGCACTAGAACAGCACATTTGCTGTTATGACATCTACTAAGGGAGTTTCAACAGCGTTTCTCTGATTAACCTTCACAAAGAGAAATTTTACTGAAGTGATGTAAAACATGAGGGTACAAGCATCATGTTATCATCTTTCTGACCCATTCATCCACTCCAATCTCTTCCAAGTTGAAGCACTACAGATGCATGATGTAAGTTCAAATGTCCTTTGTTTTTCTGGTTGAGACAGTAGATATGACAGTGCTAATAAAGGTGAGAGATTGTTTCCAGTCTCAGACAAGAAAAGCTCTTTTTCATGTCTGATTTTATTTCATTTCATCATCCAAATATTGTCTAAGCAATCCGTTTTGCTTTCCAAAAAGTATGAATCCCACATGCACTTAATAAAAAAAAACAATAACAACAAATAGTAACTATGCATTACTATGTACTGGACCAGAGTAAGAGACTGCAGGGATTTTCAGGTTTCACTCAGACAGCCACACTGAAGCCCACTGAGAACTTACACTAAAATTACAGACTGTCAGACTAATTTTCAGTTTGTTAACAAAAAGCTGATATTTTTCAAATAAAATAAACGGTGGTCTGCCTGAAAAATGTGAAACTGGAGGAGTAGGACTGATTATCAGTGATTCAATGTAGGTACGGGGGCAAATTTTATAGTGAAAGGAAGTTAAAAGACATTAACAACTCTGACTTAATCCAAACCAAACTGTGGAAATCCATCTCTTTTCTGGGTGACATTTGCATAATCCCTGCCTTGTCTTGGCCATTGTTTATCAGCATTAGCCTCTTGTTTAGGTGAGTTAGTAATGACTCCTGCTGATCGACCCCCTCTTCCCGGCCCCTCCTGTGTTCTCTGGAGCCAGATGGAGGGCCCTCTCAGACATGAAGGGTTTAAAGAGATGGGTTTCAGTACAGTTAATGGCACAGGTCCATTCAGATGAGTGTTGCTCAAGGTCTTGGGGCTGTCGCTTTCACACCATCCTCACAATGTGCTCAAACAGCAGCGGCATTGCTGAATGGCAGCACGCAGATTCAGGGAGGTCTCATCAGCTGCCATCAATACATGTCTTGCACCTGTTGCATGTTGCCGATGGTGCTAAAAATACCCTGACTGCTTTCATTTATGAGAATGAAGATAATGTTTTTATTTTTGTTTTACAAATTTTGGGCATTTTGTTTTTTGTTTTTGTCAATTTATTTTTAAATGCTTTTTTTTATTAAGTTTTAACACCCCCACCCTCCCACGACAGTCCATCTACATAGTTGGCAAATCCACAATCATAGATTAAGAAAACCACACATTGTAATAAGAATATAAATGATTACAATAGTAATAATAAACAATCCTACTGTGTAGTCCAATTTATGTATGTCTTTTTAAGTTAACCAGTTAGCAACAGCCATCAACTTAACAATTACAGGCATTATTATTTCAACAAGTTCCTCGGAAATAGATGACCTGAACCTAGAAATCAATTTACACTCCCAGAAGCAGTGACAATATGAACAGCACTTAATGTGCAGAGGAGAGCGAGAGCAGTTTATCTTGTGCAAAACAACAAAAGGAAGAATCTAACACTGAGTTTCTCTCAGTCTGTTGCATATGAAGGTAGATTTGATCAGGACTATAGCTACCTGCCTGTCATCCCCTACATATTCTGTGCCTAAATCCTTTACCCACTTATGAGGAGAAAGAGAAGGGAGTAGAATACAGAAGGTGCTCCAAGACAAATATCCAAAGAAGCGTTCCTTTGGAATTCTAAGTTTTACAACTGTTGGCTCATCTTCAAACAGGTCTCCAAGTACATGAATCCCCCTGTCCCACCATTAATGCTGTTATATAAAATAGGATTGAGCTTTACCACTGGACTTCTATTACGGACATCACAAGTGACCAGACTCCATGGGGAGTGTGGAGAACAACTCCACGAATTAATACATGACTCCTTTTAAAATACGCATGTAGCTAAGACCAAAAACAGCAGGCGTGGCAAACCCAGTTGTACATAGAATTTTAGGCATCCATGTCTGTATGTAATTGTAAAAGTCTAAGCCTCTGTTTAGGTTTTTTGCCATCCCACATAAAATTAGAGACGGCCTTTTCTGTATCCTGAATTTTCTTCTTCGGCAAGTACAGAGGAAGCATCTGCAGAGAGTATAAAATACGAAACAAAGTGGTAATTCATGCCATCATTCAAGGTCTATTTTAACTGCATGCAATAAACTGGAAGAAAATTGAGCTTCCACAGGTCCACATGTTTGGTGATATTTTAATTCCTAAATATGTAAATCCAGATACTGACCGACTGAAGGGAATATTGTTCATTGTCCCCCACATTTCCAGTAGTGTGGCCTGAGATTGACTAAAGTTGACCTTTTAACGAGTTATAGAGCCTAATTCGCTAAAGAGTGTTAAGAGTAGCCACAACTGATAATCAAGAGGAGGACAAAAACAAAAGAATATCATCAGTCAGACATTTCTGAGGAGAGAAAAAAAGTCTATTCTAAAGTTATGGAGGGCGACATACAAGTTGTAAAGAGATTCACACATTTTCTTGGAGGGAAACATAAAAGTACATACAGGCCCTCCTTAATAGTTATTGTTTTGTCAAGTGTTAAGGAGGGCAGCAATGTAAAAAACTAATTCCCATGCTTTTTGAGTTATATGATGCCTGCCTAGCTCCTTTGCAATTTACTATGGTCCAGATCTGAAAAATGAGTTTCTTAAAATTTGCCATTTCTCTTTCTTAAGGAGTGACAGGATATTTTGGCGTTTGACGACATGGTTGATGCCCTTCAGATTAAGTGATAGAATTTTAATATCACTCATATGTATTATTTTTCATGTGATTATGAAATTAGTAATTACACACACAAGAACTGGTGCATAGCACACATGCAGTGTAAAAAAGACTGTCCCTAATAACCCACCCACAACCACAAACTCCAGCATTGAACAGCCCCACAAGACCCCACAAGAACAGAAACAAATAAACACAGAATGGAATTATGACCTCTTGAGCAAGTGAAGCCAAGATCCGTCCCTCCACCATAAAGAGAGAACCATATACCGCCAGCAGGGGTATCCCACTCATGATGTTAGTTCCCCACACACTCCCACACCCTGGCCAATTGGCAGTGTCAATGAATGCAAACCACAGTAAGTCAAGAATTATTGGAGAATAAAAAAAAAGAAGCAACATAAAGAAAAAAGGGAGAGACAAAGAGAAAAACAAAAATAATAAAATTCTTAAAATACTAATGTGTTAGTATGGTCCAACACTGCTTACTCATTTTGTAATGCAGTGCATCTCCAAAGAAAAAGAAAAAAAAAACAAAATCGGCATAGCCTGTTCGTATCTCCTTATCACAAACAACTGCAACTGAGTTTCACTCAGAACACTGAAATATATACGGATACTGTATTTCCTCTCTTTATAGGGTGCTCACGCGCCCCGTTAAATTGCCGTCTGGCCCCTCACCTGCGTCAAACAATCTTGGCAATGTAAATCTTGCTTCCTTAAAACGACAGGTCGCCTTTCTCCCTGCCCGCTGATTGCATTCTGCTTTTGTCACTTACGTTGTGCAGTTTGATGATAATAGATTGTTGTCGTTTTTCATCAGGGGGCCAAGGCTGAGCCCTGTCGATCGTAACAGTTCCTTGTTTAGCTTCCAGGCCCAGCATCTTCTGAAGCCAGGTTTCAAACAACTAGATTACCTGTTTTCCTTCTGTGTCTCAAGTTCATTATCAGGATCCGTGACTCTTCCCTCGAACGAGACTGTGCAGCGTATATCATTTACAGTTTCTTATTGGTACTGTTTCGAATTTATATCAGTGCAAGTCAAAAAGCCGCTGGGTCAGCTTTTTGACTTGCACTGACATACCTACAACCATGAGGGAAAATAATGACAAACCTGCATTCATATACTAATGAATAAGGAGTATCAGTGTTTCAATGTGATTGTTACATGTGAAAAATTAATTTGTTCTCAAATGTGAATCATGTATGCAATGTCTGGTGAGTCATATAAAATCTTGTGAAAAAGTATTTCACCCTTACTGATTTCTTTTCTGTTTTATGTTGTATATTTGTCGAACTTACATATTTGAGATCTTCAAATTAATTTTAACATTAGACAAATATTACCCGAATAAATACAAAATGCTAATTAATCATAGTTAATTAATGATTTAATGTAAGTTAACAATGATGAACCACATTATTTTGGGAAAGCTGACTTCAATTTCACAGGCCACACCCCCCCCTGAATACTGCTAGATAAGCTAAATCAAGAACTCACTTAAACAGAATCTGTCTGACTAAGTGACTCTAGCTCTTCTGGGAGACACCGATGGGCACCTAAGCTAGCTGAGAAACCTAATCTTGTCTCTATATCACAGGTTCCCCTTTCAATAATGAAACTAATATTTAAACAAGTCGACAAAGTCTAAAATAAAAGATCAACACTGACTTTTGGAAGAAGGACAGAAATCTGAATTTTCTATGTAAATGACATTGAACAGTTCATCCACACAGAAGGTTTTGATTACAATTTTAAATTCCATGACTTCCATGACAGAAATTTCATGACCACATAAGTCTTGACACTTTCTAGTTTTAGCTGAAAAAATAAATCTTCAGAAACAAATATACTTCTATTGGTCTTCAATATGAAGGTGTTACATACCTAAAATGTGTGATCTGGTTCTCCAGCAGAGCAATGAGACGACTTCTGATTGCTTCAAACTGCACTTTTTCCTCCATGGTCACTGTGCCTATCCCATCAGGCCTGATGAGAATGAGAGAGAGGGGAAAAAAGAGACAGACTCATGTTTACATAATGGTGACAAATTACTGCTTGACGGTGGGAAGCAGCTGGCGTTTTTAGCATGACCAACTGATAATGAATCGTAGAGTCTAGATTTCATGTAAAAAGCTACATTCAGAGTTCGCCACAGGGGGTAGCTCTGCATGCTTGATTTGACATTTGAGTCTTATGTCTAATGCCCTTCCTGACACAATCTTAAAGGACCTATTACTTGCTAAGCAAATATGTAAACTACTACACTATACATTATAAAACTAAACTTGAAGCTTGAAAGCTAAGCTTGTTGTTTCCCTTCTACAATGTGGTTAGCATTGTGAAAGGGTTTATTTTAATGTAAATCAATATCTTTTCTTAAATATAAATTGGTACTTTTGGTTGCTAACCCTAGTAGTAAGTGAACCGCACAATGCTAAAAGAAGTCTCCTTAACTCAACTCAGCATGAAACTAAAGTGCTAAAGTGCTTCACAGGTTAAAAAAAAGGAGATGAGGAAGAATACTTTTGCAAAATCTTACCAACATTAAGACAGTAAAATGTTCAAGATAAAAAAAAATAAAGCTGAAAATAAATAAAGTAAGCACAATAAGTATCACAATGACTAAGTTGTCTTCCATTTAAAAAAAGACAACTATCCATCTACTGTCCTGCAGCCTCAACTTCTGGATGCCAGATGGAGATGGGTGCCAGGTCACCTCAGGTATAAATGATCTCAGAGCAGAGGGGAAAAAAGCTTTCTCCTGGCAACGCTTCCAAACAGTCGTACTGGCTCAGTGTTTTTCTAATGATACTTTCATGAAATAAATAATGCCATGGTGTAATATTTCATGTGTTGTTGTGTTTCAAGGTTGTAGTTTACAAATAATAATAATAATAATGATAATAATAACAATATAAACTAATAATAAAATAATAATATATATTGAGACCTTAATTCAAAACCTTAGAATTGAAAGTGGCAGTACTGTGTAAACTGTGGGCTGTATATACTGTACATAATTCTTAGTCTTAATTCTTCATCAAGACTCTCTTAACCTCCTAAGACCCGAACTCTTCCACGGCATGCATGTTTAATTTCTCTTTGATATTTGGGCTGGTTGGGGCCCGATGAATGTAAAAACAAAGAATTACCAGATTTTTTTTTTTTACCTTATTTTTGTTTTTAAGAAAATTAAGAGCCACATATGAGGATATTTGTTTAAATAATAGAACAGTAGCAGTATAATGTCCTCGTAAGTGGATATCAGGCCCTTGTAGAGCAAAATTGAGTATTTTGTTCTAAATAACCCAAAATGTGATGTCCACATATGTGGACACCAGGTCCAAGGAGGTTAAAAAGCAAAAGATTTTTATAACTAAGAACTCTACACCAGCTAAATGCCTGAAACATCAAGAACCGAAATAAAAGCAAAATTCAACACCACAGAAAAGAGTTAGGGTGCTTTTTCTCTCCTTGGCTTCTTTTTTTACTCTGGCTTGTTTCACAACCAAACAACAAACTGATCAGTCAGCCAATTTTTCTATGATAACCTCAAAGTTAACCAATCAAACGCTCAGACTTGTCCTGCTCCTCACAATTCATCTGGCTGTCAGCAGGAGAGTTGACAAAAAATGTTTGGTGAATGCTTCATTAATGTTTTTAAAGCCTTCATTCTGTTCTTGCCTTGGTCTGAATAGCAGTTTGTTAAAAAAAAAAAAAAGGGAAAAATGCAATCAGGACCCAGAGCAAGCAGCCTTGACTTTCTGGGCTTTCTCTGTGCCTCTGAAAGAGAAAAGAACCCTCTCTAAACGGCACTTGTGGGCACCGGAGGGAAGAAGCACGGAGGTTGTCTGTTAATGAGTTGTTCTTATAAAAGCTTTCAGTGGTTTAGCCCATGACTGCTGCATGTTGAGTACCAACAACTCTGCTGAGCTCTTCAAGGCACATCATGACTCTCCAAAGTTGAAAATAATAGCATGACAAGAAAGCAACAAAGTCTCAAAGACAGAACTGCGGATACTGAATCATCAAGCATTAACCTCCTGAGAAGCATAAATGTGACAATAATAAATTTACTTTACTTTACTCAGAAAAATGTTTTTCTACAGCAGAGTTGTGGAAAGGACACCAGTGAACACAATGATGGAAGAAAACAAAAGAGAAATGAAACTAAATTATATTTTTATTCTCTGATGTTCAATAGTGCCACCTGCTCTCTTGTAGAAAAAAATATGTTTAATTTAAAAAAGGAAAGAAAATTTAATTCAGTATATAACATGAATAACATAAACATAAATATTTCATATAATATAAAATAAGTAAAACTACTTAGCATTACAAATACAGACTTTTAAATTAATAAAGATGTCAGTAGTTACTTATAAGGGGTTCAAATTAAACACATTTAAAAAGATTTTTTTTTAACTAAAAAAATTACATAAATTAATTAAATAACTTTTTTCTTTTAAAGCAAAGACATGCAAAGTTAACTAAAATCCGATTCAGTGTTATTCACAGCCCGGGGAAGGTGGAAGTTGCAGAGGTGGTGGTGGATAACAACAGGACGTTGTCATGTATTGTGAGAGAACATCAGTGCCACTCTTCAGCTCCACTCAACTCAATTCAATCAGTAATGAGAAGCAGCTTTCTTTGCACAACAGCACTTGTTAGCACAACTTGTAAACCCTGTTGTTCCCCAAATCTTTCAATTCATCACAACTCCCCCACCGCACTGCTCACAACCTTATTTAACAAGCACCAGTTAATCCTGAGGGAACAGAAAGCAGAGCCATTGTGAGGGGGGCGTGTGTGTTCACTCATGTAAAAATTTGCTTTCATGCTGAAGAAGCCAAGGGTCTCATTGCACAAATGAAGATGTGAAGACTGTGATGGGAGCAAGATGCATGATAGAGGGACTGCCTGAGGCTCCAAGCCCCCACAGTTATTGCCAGCTGTTCTGTAATCTGAGTTGTTCATCTTGCTCAAACAATCAATCTGCATCCCAGAGAAAGATGACAGAAAATAAAAATGGCTGTAGAGTTTTGAAGCTCTTGTCTTTTTGTAACAAGACTATATGAATAGTTTGAAGGTCAGGTGGTTTTTTTATATTGAGTTGCTGTTTTTAACATATTAGACATCTATCTTGGTGCATAATTTGTCATATTTGACTATAATACACAAAACCTCAGGAGCTGAGCAACAAATCTCAGCACACAGATACATTTTAGGTTCCTAAAGGTTCTTATTTAGATATTATGTTGTCTTCATACTGCCAAAAAGGCAAAACAGCCTCTACTATTCTCCATCTGATGTAGCTCTGGAGGTAGCGAAGATCTGCTAACTGGAAGGTTGGTGGTTCGATGCTCGATGATATTTAGGCATACATTTCTGCATGCCTAAATATCATCGGGTAAGACTATGAACCCTGAGTTGCTCTTTTTTATTTCACAATACTAACATCTAATTTAAAAAGGTTGAATTATGCATGTTAGTTTGCCTGGAAACCAACTTACAATTGGTGGCTTACAGGCAATATTTTACAGGCAAGTCCAATGAATAGCTTAAAATGGTACAAAAGTAAGTGGTGAACTGCCAGAGGTTAAAAAAAAAGGTAAGATTACTCAAAACTGAAAAATATTGTGTATTTCATAATTATACAAAAAAACAACAACCCAGCAACACAAAATGGGTTAACAGTTTAAATCTGTTCTGCACCAATAGAGGTTGATCAAGCCTTGAAAGCTAGTGCTACTAATTCCTACAGGTGTTCCAACTTTTCAGGATTACTTACAATCCGCTCTGTCTGCATAAAAGCAGTGCTGGAACACACTGTGGTACCATACCCATCAGTGAGCCTCAGCTGAACAGCATTGTGCTGCAGAAAGTAGTGTGTTGCTATAAAAATGGTGAGAAAAAGGCAATTAACAATGGAAGAGAGACAGACCATTATAACACTTAAAAATGTAGATCTTTCCTACAGAGAAATTGTGTCAGTGATTCCAGTTTCCCTCAGCATCAAAAAGCACTCAGAAACTACTTGCTCTCAGGCTAGAGCAATATCTACCATTGTTAATTTCTCCAGATCAGACAGGTTTCGTGAAGGGTATGCATGGTTTTTTCAACCTGTGCAGGTTTTTAAACATATTACACACCAAGTCAACTACAACCCCTGAAATTGCCTTATTACTCGATGCTGAGAAGGCATTTGACTGGGTGGAGTGGGATTATCTGTTTTATACTCTACATAAATTTGGATTTGGCCCTAATTTCATTTCATGGATTCAGTTACTTTACTCCTCACCTTTGGCACGTGTTAGAACAAATTCGTTGTTCTCTTCTTATTTCCCACTTCTCCGTGGTACGAGACAAGGTTGTCCCTTATCCCCTCTTCTTTTTGCATTATCAATTGAACCATTGGCGATTAAACTGCGAGCTGACAGTTGCATTAAGGGCATCTTCAGAGGTGACCAGGAACACAAAATATCCTTATATGCTGACGACCTCCTGCTGTATATGTCAGAGCCTTTATGCTCTCTTCCCCGTGCTCTTGCCATTTTTGAATGTTTTGGTAATATTTCAGGTTACAAGTTGAACCTGCATAAAAGTGCACTTCTCTGTGTCAACTCTATAGCCAGGAAGATTTCATTTTCAGATTTTCAATTTAACGTTAAATCAGGGTATGTGACCTATCTGGGGGTTAAGGTTACCCACTCATACAAAGGTCTTTAAGAAAGAAACTTTGTCCCGCTGCTTAAGAATACTGAGACAGATCTTCAGAGATGGAACAATTTACCACTGTCATTAACTGGCCGCATCAATTCTATCAAAATGAACATACTACCCAAGTTCCTTTATTTATTTCAATGTATCCCATGCTACTTACCCAATAAGTATGTTATAACACTGAATAAGCATATCTCTGCATTTATTTGGAATGGCAAAAGTCCACGAATTCGTAAAGATTTCATGCAGAGGACTAGGCCAAT